GCCATTCTATGTAGACTTGGGCAAGCTGCATGATCCCTCATTGCCACCAGAAGAAGGAACTGGTAGACCACTTCTTAATACTTTACATCTACATTTGACAGCACATTATTATTATCAGAGGCAGCAAACCTCTGTATTTCAGTTGCTGAAGAAACTGAAACAAAGTGTGCAGTTGCGCTCATGTTCTTCTGGTAGGGTTTCCATACTTTGGAGAACAGGATACTGGAGCAGAGGCCTTCACTGATGAAATATGGCTTTTCCATATTATATAAATTCTAGGTTCCTTAATACACCTTGAAGGCTCATGCTGCCATTGAGATTTCTCACTCACCCACGCTACCTGTGCCTGTTGTGGAACCCCAATACAGGTTTGCATTTCTTTACTGATTGACTCAGTTATGCAAAACAAAGCCTGTGTTAGTAACACCATAGTTGAATTCAGCAGATCTTAGTTCTGAGTAGACATGTGTACAGTACAATTTCACTGGAAGCCATTTACCTTAATAGAAAATATTTTCTTAAAGCTATATGTTGATTCTGGAAAATATTTAAGATATATTCTCTAGTATGGCAACATATTGCATAAAATTATTTTTCTACCATTTTACATTCAAAGAAACTTTTGGGCCACTTTTGGAATGCCATTATATTGAGTAGAATTTCTGACAGGCCACAGTCAGTAAGGATGGGATCTCACCATTCTTCTACCCTGGTACTAAGTACAGGAGCTCCCCAGGACTGTGTGCTAAGTCCCCTCCTCTATTCCCTGTACACACATGATTGCACCCCATTGTATAACACCAACACAATTCTTAAATTTGCGGACGATACGACAGTGGTGGGGCTCATAAACAAGAACAATGAGTCTACTTATAGAAAGGAAGTATAAGGGTTGATACTCTGATGTAAAGAAAATAATCTTACACTTAACATAAAAAACTAAAGAACTCATACAGTGGTGCCTCACAAGACGAGCACTTCGTTTTACGATGAAATCGCATAACAATGAAGTTTTTGCAGTCGCTAACTGATTATCGCAAAACGACGATTTTTGCACAGCTGATCAGCCGTTTCAAAATGGCAACCGGGTAAAAAAAAATGGCCGCCCACTGTTTTCTGGGACGGATTCTTTGCTGCATGGGCAGTGAAAATGGCTCCGCTATGGAGGATCTTCGCTGGACGGTGAGTTTCAAGCCCATAGGAACGCATTAATCGGGTTTTAATGCGTTTCTATGGGCTTTTTAAAATCGCTTTACGATGTTTTCGTTCTACAGCGATTTCGCTGGAACGAATTAACATTGTAATGTGAGGCACCACTGTACTTGATTTTAGGAGGAAGAGAAATGTACATTTACCACTGTACATAAATGGCGAGGAAGTGGAGAGAGTTGGTAGTTTTAAATTTCTGGGCACTTACATCTCAGAGGACCTCTCATGGGCTATAAATGCCAACATACTAGTGAAGAAGGCACAGAAGAGGCTGTATTTCCTGAGAATGCTCGGGAAGTTAAATTTATCTCAGCATTTACTTCTGTC